AGCCAAGGTTGGGAGGCCTCTTCCCACATCCAGCCTGGTCTGGGCTGGTTCCTGGCTGGCTGGCAGGTGTGACTCAGGCTTCCAGCTCCTGCCCCTGGCCAGCAGGCCTCCTCATCCCTTCCAGATATGAGGTCCTTGGGGCAGGGGCAGAGGAAGAAGGGAGGCTGCTAGGTCATCTGCAGGGTGTCCTGAGACCATAAGATCCAAGCAGCCCAAGGCGCTCCAACCCTTGTCAGCGCTTCCTTACGTCTAAACTGAATTGCTTCTGCAGCATAAACTGACCCGTGGTTGTTGCCGGAATTGTAAAAAGGTTGTCCCTTCTGTGGGGTGAGAGACTGCATTCAGTGTTTCTGCTAATAGTACCTGGAGGGGGAAGGTGTCCCGGCAGAGGAGACAACTTGCACATGGGCGGAGCGGCTGGGAAGCCAGGTGGGGAAGGCTGAGGCTGGGCAGTGGCACTGGGGCTCTGCTTGGGGGTTTTATGATGGGCCAGCGCCCTCAGGCCTCCCCTCTGGTCCCTCTTTGCTCACTCCTCCCATGCTCTGGCTGCAATATTTACCCTTCATTTCCCACACAAGGTAGGCCCAATCCCCACCTCAGTGCCCCCGCCTGGGATGTCTCTTCACTTTTCCAAGTCCAAGTCCCCTTGGCCCTTTAAGGCCCAGCAACAGACATGTCTTCTCCAGGGGCCCTTCCAGGTCCCTCCCTCCCAGGTGTACCTATGAGCCCTAACACCTGAACTGAGTCCCAAGCCCTGCCCTGAGGCTGACACCCCCAGGAATCCCTTGGAGCTGCTCCCATTCTTGGGACACACCCTGGTGGGTGTGACCACAGGAGTTCCGCAGAGAACTGGCTGCTGGACTGAAGGCCAGGCCTCCTTGCCCTTCTGGATCCCAGCCCAGCTCAAATCAGGCCAGGAGGTCCATGCTTCTAACCTGCACAAGCAGCCTCCTAGCAGACCTGAGAATGCAGTAGGTGTTCAATTCATGCACGACGGACCAAGTGTTTACCGGCAATTCAAACCTGAATGTTCTCAGTCTGGTTTAAACTTTTGGCCCTGACTTGGTTCCTCACTCTGCTGGCCTGTAAAATGGGTTCGGGGGTGAGGTCAGTGCTTATACTGTGCAGAATAAAAGGGTTCTTTCTCCCTGTGGCAGCTCATCCTCACCGCCTGCTGGTGGCCATTATGACCACATTCTACCAAGAAGGCCAGAATCACACAGTGAATAGGGGCCAAGATAGAGCAAGAATCTGGGCCCACAGCTTTGAGTCCTGGTTTGGCAGCAAGGAGGAGTCAGGGGAGGACTAGCACAGGCAGGGAGAACCTCACTCAGGTGAGTTCTCAGAGGCATCACCTCTAACCCCACAGCCCATACCTATCACTCCCAGTGAGCTCCGGGCCGGCCAAAGGGGAAATGTGGGAATATCTGATGGCAGATAGTAGGTGTGCAATAAATGCTTTTGGAGAAAAGGAAGAGATCTAAAAAGGGAGGGAGAGGGTGCATAAGTGGATAGCCACATAGAGGACTGGGCACGTCAGCGAATGAGCTATTCAATAAATGGAGAACAAGGTGGGGGTGGTGGGTGGAGGAGTGAGTGACTGGGAAGATGGCTCTGGGTGTAACAGCTGAAGGAGGAGTCGGAAGCTCTTTAGTCACTAACCTGTCCATTTGACAGATGAGAAGACTGAGAAGAGGCTGAGGAGAAAAGCAGCTGCTGAATCTATAGGGCTGACCTTTAATCAGCAGCCTCTGGTCTCCCTACTCCCCGCTCTCTCTCTCTACTCCTCATCACCCTCTTTCCTCCGCCGGGGTGGGAGGGTTCCGGGAAGGAGACCTTTCCTCGACCTCCTTGCTCCTCTTAGGCCCAGTTTCCGCTAGACCTTGGTGTTAGGGGTGTTAGGGAGGGGGTGTCCCCCACAGGGGCTATTTCAGTCCGAGACAGCCCTGCCAGGAAACAGAGGAAGCTGCCCGCCCATCAGAGGTGTCACAGCCTGGGCTGAGGGTGTGGAGCCTCATGTCTGGCTTCCCCTTGCTCCAACACACTCAGGGCCACCACGGCGCTTCAGGGACAGGAGGCTGCATGTGAGTGTTGGTGCATCTTGGGGCCGTGGGCCAGCGTGGAGTGGGGCTGGGGTCGGACACAGGGACTGTGACTTTGGGCAGGCAGGCTGGGCTTAGCACTGACCTAAAGGAGGTCCACAGAGTTGGGGGTGCCCAGAGGAAGGGACCCTACACAGCTGGGGGATCGGCAAAGGAAGAAGCACCCTGGCCGGTGAGCTCAGTTGGTTGAGCATCTTCCCGTGCACCCAGAGGTCACCAGTTCGATTCCATTCGTGGGTTCAGTTCCTGGGAGGCAACTGATCAATGTTCTCTCAGATCTCTCTCTCTCTCTCTCTCTCTCTCTCTCTCTCTCTCTCTCTCTCTCTCTCCCTTGTTCCCTCTCTAAAATCAGTGAAAACGTATTTTTAAAAAAAGGAAAGGAAGAAGCAAGATTGGATGTGGAGCTTGATGGACACAGGGTTTTGAGGAACAGAGATGGGGCGAATGGCACTTTGTGTGAAGGGAACAGTAAAGATGGGCGGCTGGGGAGGAAGCCTGGCTTGCTGGCCGTCTCGGTGTCTTGGGAACAGTGTGGTGGAGGGGCAGCGCTGAGGGCCTGGGGTACTTCAGCTGAGGCTCGAAGGCTCAGCAGAGGCTTGACTGTCAGGACAGGGCGTTGAGCTTTTCCCCAAAGGACAGAAGTGGCTGGGGTCTGAGCTGGTCTGGGCCTCAGGGTCTAAGAATGGGTGACAGATATGATGGCTGTGGGAACCAATGTCGCTGCTACATGGAGGCAGAGTCTCTCTCTCTCCTCTTTCCTCTCTCTCTCTCTCTCTCTCTCTCTCTCTCTCTCTCTCTCTCTCTCTCTCTCGGAACCAGCTCCTGCCAGGACTGGGAGAACAGCTCACCCCTCCTACGTCCTGGGAAGGCAGAATGGATGCGGGAGGCAGGTGACGGCCAGGCCTGGAGCAGACCTGAAGGTTTGCCCTGGATCCTCTCGTGCAGCACTGCATCCTGCACCGAAGTCAGAGGGGTCTCTGGGATGTGTCTGAGGGTGACAGGCCCCTCAAAGAAGGGTTCAGGGGCACAGCATGGTTCCTTCCACCAGCTTCCTCCTCCTCCCTAGGACCTTCTGCCCCAGCAGGCTGCTCTCCTCTCAGGCCCTGCCTGCTCCACCTTCCTCCCCACCTGGGAACTCCCCAAGCGTCCTCACACCCCGCTCCACCCAGGGCAACCCTCCTCGACCATCAGGGACTTGCTCTATCCTTCATCCTCTGAAAAGTCTCTTCCACCCTATAGATTGCACTGGTCTCGCCCCTCAGACTAGTCCATATACTGGGTAGGGCAAAAATAGGTTTACAGTTGTTATTCTAGATAATAAGACAATAACTAATAAATAAAAATATAAGAGTAAACCGTTTATTCTTGTAAACCTACCTTTACCGCACCCTGTATAAGTAAAGGTAAATGTGCGTATGTATTTCTGTATCTGTATCTACCTACCTTCGTCTGCATCTATATACTGTGTCCTCATGCACCCAGCAGGCAGAAGTACTCATTAAGTGCCTGGCATGCAGAAACCAGAAAATGAATGCATGAATGAAAGAACGGCCTGAACAATGAGTGAAGAGGCGAATGGATAAACTGTACTAATCTTGCCTTCCTGGCTACAGTGGGGGTATCGCCAAGCCTCCTCCTTGGCCTCCCCCTTGTGCCTAACTGGTGAGCTGGGCACCCAGCACTCCTAACTCATGGGATGACATCGACAAGAATCTTAGGTGACTTAAGGTGATATGGCTCATGATATAACAGACTGGAGAATCCAAACATCATCGTTTTGCAGTTGCCCAGAATCTGGGTAAAATATTTCCATAAAAATCAAATTTTAAGTTGGAAGAAATTAGTGTGGGGAGTTACGTTTTGCTCTATTATAACTTTTTAAAATCTCATAACTTTACTTAGCAGGTATATCCACATTAGGTATACCAATTGCCCTGTGCCAAGCACTGATCTTCACAGCAGCGCTATGAGGCAGGCACTATATTACCCCATTTTATAGACGGGGAAACGGAGGCATGGAGGTTGAGTAAGGAGCCTCAGGCCACACAGCTCACACGTGGCAGAGCCGGGATTTGAACCTGGGCATCTGGACCAGAGCCCATGTACTCAGCCTCAACCCTCTAGCACCCTCTGAGTGCATTTGCAGGACTTCATATTTTTTCTGGGCCTCAGTTTCTCCCATCTGTAACACAGAGAGAGGGGAGGATTTGACTCACTATCTCAATGGCAGGTCCACGGAGTTAAGTAGTGAATTCTCTGTGGACACCAGTAAATGTGAAAATGCCAATTGAGAAGTGAGCAACAAGAATCGCTCATCCACCAGGGGCAGGTCCTCCAGGCATCTGTGCTGCCGGCTCCCCCAAACGCCAGCCTGAAGGGATGACTGGAGGGATCAGGTGTAGGATAAAAACAGCAAGGCATGGTGTTTATTAAGCACCTGCTGCATGTCAGGCCCAGCATACATCTTTCTGATGAGGACATAGGCCCAGAAAAGGTAAGTGGAAACCCTGGGTTGAACAGCATGGCAGAAGGGAAGGCAGGATTTGAACCAAGCCTCCTGATTCTCTGAAGCTGGGCTTGGAACCGCTACGTTCCATGTCCATGGGCTACACCAAGATGCCTCCTGAGTCAGGTGGTTGGGCTCCGGCTCCAACTCCCACTTGGGCTCTGCCTCCAATTCACTAAGATTAAGAGGCCACTTCCCCCGACTGCGTCTGGATTCCCCTTCTATTAAGCTGTTGATGCGGTTGCTCCCTCTGCCGTCTGCCTTCAGGAAAGCTGTTTTCACTGTGGCCACCAGAGGGCGCTGTGGCTCTGCCAGACCAGCCTTTGTGGCCTTAAGTCAAGTGGAAGGAGGCTTAGGGAACTCCTAAATCACCTCCTTCCCTCATTTTACAGATAAGAAAACTGCAGCCAGAAGAAGGACCCTGGCTTTGGAAGGTGGAGCTCAGGCCAAGGAGGTAGATGCTGTCCTTGGTCGGCTCACGGTGCGTGAATATTTTGTTCATGTTGATTCATTAAGCGTTACCACGGCCCTCTGTCCTTGGGCCCGGGGCTGGGCTCAGACAGACCTGGCACCTCTCCTCAGGAGATTCCCAATCTGTGAAGGAGAGTCTAACAGGCAGGCCCACCAGGACCACCATCTCCGAACTCCAGGTGCCCGGGGAAGCCCTGGAGAGTATGATTTAGTGCCTCTAACCTCGTAACATCCTGAGAAGTAACATAGAGAAGTAACATTCCCCCATTTTTCAGATAGGAAAGCTGGCACTCAGAGAAGGTCTATCAATAGCTCAAGGTCACATAGCCAGTAAGTAAGATGGGATTCAAATCAAAGTCCATCCATCTCCACTTACAGAAGCGAGACATTTGACTCAGATTTGGAAGGATGACAGGAAGTTCAGCCCTAGCTGGTTTGGCTCAGTGGATAGAGTGTCAGCCTTTGGACTGAAGGGTCCCAGGTTCGATTCCGGTCAAGGGCACATGCCTGGGTTGTGGGCCCAATCCCCAGTAGGGGGCCTGCAGGAGGCAGCCAATCAATGATTCTCTCTCATCACTGATCTCTCTCTCTCCCCCCCTCCCCCTCCCTCTCCCTTCCTCTCTGAAATCAATTAAAAAATATATATTTACTAAAAATAAAAGTTCACCAGAAAGTCTGGTGAGAAATGGATATTATAAATAGAAATTACTCCTGGCTGGGTAGCTCAGTTGGTTAGAGCATCATCCTGATACACCAAGGCTGTGGGTTCAATCCCCAGTCAGGGCACATATAAGAATCAATCAATGAATGCATAAATAAGTGAACAACAAACCTGTTTCTCTCTTGTGTTCCAGGTTTTGTGAGGGCTGAGTGGGGTCTCTGTGGGGTGGTATCAGAGATGGTTCGGGTGGGGAGAGGGACAAGGACCTACTGGGTGGTCAGTGAATGTGGTCACTGACAGATGGTGTGTTGCTTCCGCAGCCTCTCCAGATGTAGGAAGCCCCGTCAGGCAGCCATGGAGTGGCACAACGACACAAGCCAGGCTCTGGGCTCACCGCCGACCACCTGTGTCTACCGAGAGAACTTTAAGCGGCTACTGCTGCCCCCCGTGTACTCCGTGGTGCTGGCGGCTGGCCTGCCGCTGAATATCTGTGTCATCGTCCAGATCTGCTCGTCCCGCCGGGCCCTGACGCGCTCGGCCGTGTACACCCTGAACCTGGCCCTGGCTGACCTGCTGTACGCCTGCTCCCTGCCCCTGCTCATCTACAACTATGCCCGAGGTGACCACTGGCCCTTCGGCGACCTCACCTGCCGCCTGGTGCGCTTCCTCTTCTATGCCAACCTCCACGGCAGCATCCTCTTCCTCACCTGCATCAGCTTCCAGCGCTACCTGGGCATCTGCTACCCTCTGGCCCCCTGGCACAAGCGTGGGGGCCGCCGGGCTGCCTGGATAGTGTGTGGAGCCGTGTGGCTGGCTGTGACAACCCAGTGCCTGCCCACAGCCTTCTTTGCTGCCACAGGCATCCAGCGTAACCGCACTGTCTGTTACGACCTGAGCTCGCCTGCCCTGGCCACCCGATACTTGCCCTATGGCATGGCGCTCACAGTCATCGGCTTCCTGCTGCCCTTCGCCGCCCTGCTGGCCTGCTACTACCGTCTGGCCCGCCGTCTGTGCCGCCAGGATGGCCCCGCAGGGCCTGTGGCCCAGGAGCGGCGTGGCAAGGCAGCCCGCATGGCTGTGGTGGTGGCAGCCGTCTTTGCCATCAGCTTCCTGCCTTTCCACATCACCAAGACAGCCTACCTGGCGGTGCGCTCTACGCCGGGTGTCTCCTGCCCCGTGCTGGAGGCCTTCGCAGCCGCCTACAAAGGCACGCGGCCCTTCGCCAGTGCCAACAGCGTGCTGGATCCCATCCTCTTCTACTTCACCCAAAAGAAGTTCCGCCAGCGGCCACATGAATTGTTCCAGAAACTCACAGCCAAGTGGCAGCGGCAGGGGCGCTGAGCCCCTGGGGCAGGACAGACCCTAATATCTCAGCAACAGCTATTTATTGAGCCCATTTTTGGACCAGGCCTTGTGGGCACAGACACAGGGCAGCCTGAGCCTGGCCCTGCGGAAGGTCCCGTGAGCCATGGAGAGGTGGAGAAGCCATGTTGAGCTGCTCACACAAATATATGTGACATGTACTGTAATTGAGGAGTATGCTGCATGCTTTGGAGTCACTTATAAGGGAGTGAGGGAAGATGGGGGTGGGGAGGAGTGAGAGCTTCTGGGAAGAGGCATTTGAGCTGGGTTTTGAGGGATGAATATGAGCGGGGTATGATGTTCCATTCATTCAGCAAACCTTTACTGACACGGTGTGTTCAGGCCTGGGTTGGTTGTGGGTCCCAAAGGAACCAGACCCATACAGGCTCCCAACTGCTGGAAGTATTGACGCAGTGACGTAAAGGCTGTGACTGAGGGAAGCGTGGCTGTGGGGACGGGACGGAGTGCTCGGAGGATGCCCATGACCCAGATCAAGAAGTCAGGAGAGATCTTTTTGGGGGGAGGGGGGAGGAAGGGGAGCATCTGAACCAGATGTTAAAGGCTGTTGGGAGCTCTGCCAGCGGAAGAGGGGAGCATGTTAGTACAGCCTGGGCCAGCCCTATGCTAGGCTCTGCCCTGGGGCAGACAGGCAGGGAGCTGGGGGTGGGCGGCATGTGGCCTCCTGTGTGTGAAAGCAGAAAACATAAGCGCTGTCTTATGGCCACTCTCCAGACAACCAGTGGCAGGAGGGGGCTCAGCAGGAGAAATCAGGGAGTGCTTTTTAGAAGAGGTGGAGCCTGAGGTGGGGAGGAGGCTCCTGGTGAAGGCACCGTGCATGCAAAACCCAGAGGCAGAGATGCGCTGCACTTGGAGGTAAAGCAAGTGAGCTTCAACTCAGCCCAGGGTTTGGGTGTGTGAGGAGTAGGGTGTTAAGAAAAGAAGCTGGGTGAGACCAGAGCATTAAATGCCAGGAAGAGCCCCAGACCCCACTTACCCTCCACCCACCTCTTCCAGACTCAGGGTATCCACCAGGCCCCTCCAAGGAGGGGAAGTGGCCCTTGGACATTGCTTCATTCTAAAAGGAGAGTCAGCAGCTCAGGAGAAAGAGCCACCCAGGGCCATCAGGAGGCTGCTACATGGAGGTCCCGTGTCAGGGGCCTGCTGACCAGTCTCAAGACAGACTGCTCTGCCGGCTTCCTCTGTTCTGCCCTCTCAGCTCCATCATTCTGGCCTGCGGGTGCCTGGAAGGCTGCCCGGAGGCCATCTCATATGGATGCATCTCAAACACAGACCTGAGCCTTAAAAAGGCTTGTAAAGACATCTTCACTGAAGGTCCAAGGAGGCAGCAAAGGGAAATACCAGGCAAGGCCCTTCCAGGTCCTCACCCATTCTCCCCCCAGCACCTCTCCCCTCAGCCACACCTCTGCAGAGCCCCATCCTCTCTGCTCTTTTTCTCTCCTCCCCCACTGCCGGGGTCCAACCCCAGCGGGTCCAGGGGTCCCCAAAGGCGTGGACGGAGTCGGTGAAGAAGGACTGACACGGAGACAGCGTTCAGTTGATCAGCAGCCTAGCCAGGATCTCTAGCCAGGATCTCCAGCCAAGTTCTGGTCTGGATCTCCAGCGAAGTTCTGCCGGAGACAGTGTTCAGTTGATCAGCAGCCTAGCCAGGATCTCTAGCCAAGTTCTGGTCAGGATCTCCAGCGATGTTCTGGTTAGGATCGCCAGCCAGGTTCTGTGTCCATGTTCTAAGTTCTGTGTCTTGCTGTCTTATTACATCTGTATTTATACCAGTTGATTCAATCCTATCAATCTCTATTACAAAGGTTAGGGCGTTTCTTATCTCCATTCCAGGGAGTAAAGATTATGTAGCTTAAGCATGACTGTTTGTAGTTAAAGTGATTAACTACCCACCTGGCACTTAGTTAAGGAGTTTTATCCCCTCCCTGACTTCAGGGAAAAAATCCCTACCTGGGGAAACAACCTTTCTCAGAGAGGAGACCTTGGTTAAAACACATAGTGCCAAGAAGGTGAGAAAACATTTTAAGAACAGTATGCCATATATGCCAGGTCCTTTGAAACAGCAAGGATGGACTGGCTCCCGGCACCCCACCTCACCCCTCACTCCTCCTCTAGGCCTTATTCCCTCCTGTGGAGCAGTCCGGCCTGCCCTTGGCTGCTGGTATACCACACAGACCCTGCACGTGACAGAACCGGCATGGCGAAGTCTCCCTTTTCAGAAGGTAGCGGGAGGAGAGGGATGGGCAGAGCGATAGGGCAAGGAAGGCCTATATAACTGATTCAATATCTTCCTTTTAGCCAAGGCTGTTGGGCAATGGGCACTCAGAGAAGGGCGGAGGAGCTAAACTCCATGGAGGTGTCTTGCAGCTGGCGGAGGAAGTGGGAGAACCAGGCCCGGCCCACCTTGGAATCCACTACAAGTGCTGTGGCTGGAGAGGCTCACAATTTGGACAAAAGGAACTTTGATTTTGGGGGCTAAGGTGAGATAGACACATGGTGATGTCAGAAGAAAAAGGCTAGTTCTTTTTTAAAAAAAAATATTTTTATTGATTTCAGAGAGGAAGGGAGGAGAGATAGAAACATCGATGAGAGAGAATCATTGATCGGTTGCCTCCTGCATGCCCCACACTGGGGATCGAGCCTGCAACCCGGGCATGTGCCCTGACCGGGAATCAAACTGTGACCTGGTTCATAGGTCGACACTCAACTACTGAGCCACGCCAGCCGGGCAGCAGCTTGGGTCTTTGACCATTCCAGTTTGGGGCCACTAAGTGCAGATCTTTGCCTGAGAGATAAGTATCTACTTTTTCAAAGCCCTAGAGTTGTTGTTTTTTAATCTTTGTTACCCACAGCCCAAACAAACCCCTTTACTCAGATTCCATCCTGATAGTAGACCTGGGTGGAGGCAGGCGGGGTCCTGACCTGGGGTGGAGCCCTCCACCTGGTGGGAGTGAGGAGTCCACAGGGTCGGGAGACATCCAGGAAGGGTTTTTGGAAAAGGTGCAAAGCCTGGGGCGTGGTTACCTCACCTTTGGCTGGAATCTGAGGGGGTGGATGGGATTTTGAAGAAGAAAGTAAGAAGGGAGCTGAATAGAGTCCTAGAACACCAACATTCGGGGACTGGAGAGGAGGAGGAGGAGCCAGAAAAGTGGAGGTAGAGGGGGGCGGGGGCGTGTCTCTGAATTATGGTGATGTGATGAGGCAGTGGAGCTGGGTGAGGGAGGGAGGGGCTGGAGGAAAGGAAGTTTAAGTGATGGATGGAGAAGTAAAGAAAGGATGGTTCTGAGGGAGACCAGGCTCAGGGAAGGTCAGCAATTGAGGACAGGGCGGGGGGTGCACAGGACCAAGACAGGGGAGCCTGGGAGTCAGGGACCAGGGCTTGATTTGGGGAGATTTCCATTCAAAGTAGGAAAAGCCTGGGGGCACTGGATCTGCCCTAGCAATGGATGCAGCTGCCTCCTCCCTCCCTCGTTCATTTAACAAACATTCTCTGTGCTCCTTGGAGATGGTGCTGGGAACCCTGAGGCAGCTCAGACCCCGACCCAACCCTCAGAAAGAATCCAAGGGGCTGGGGATGCAGACAAGGAGACAGACAGTTCATCCAGTAAACACTGATTGAGCACCTACTGTATTCCAGGCAGCATGCTGGCATGGGTCCCTCCCCGGGGAGCTCCTAGTCTGATGGAGAACAACAATAATGAAATTACCACAAACACATCTGAATCATTACAATAGGAGAAGAGTTCAGAAACACATACAGAGGGCCAGGGGCACAGAAGGTCTCCCCAGACCAGTGGTCGGCAAACCGTGGCTTGGGAGCCACATGCGGCTCTTTGGCCCCTTGAGTGTGGCTCTTCCACAAAATACCACGTGCGGGCGCGCACATACAGTGCGACTGAAACTTCGTGGCCCATGCCCAGAAGTCGGTTTTTGGCCTGGGCGAGTCTATTTTGAAGAAGTGGCGTTAGAAGAAGTGGGGGGTGTCGGTCGGGCGATGGGAGACACAGCACCGGGGAGGCGCGCGCGATTCATGCACGAGTTGAGGATGGGAGAGTTGGAAGGCGTCGACCTCAGCGAACGTACCTCAATCAGATTGAGGACGTTCTTAGCAAAGGCCAGCTTAGGAGTTAATAACTAAGTATTGTTGATATTTGGCTCTGTTGACTAATGAGTTTGTCAACAGGACAAAGATTGAAATTTCTTTTGAGAGCCAAATTTTTTAAACTTAAACTATATAGATAGGTACATTGTTATTAACTTAATTAGGGTACTCCTGAGGCTTAGGAAGAGCCACACTCAAGGGGCCAAAGAGCCGCGTGTGGCTCGCGAGCCGCAGTTTGCGGATGCTGGGGACCACACGGGCCCTGACCCAGCGTGAAGGGCAGAGAAGGTTTCTTAGCTGAAGCCCAAAGGCCTCAGAAGGCATTAGCCCAGTAAAGAAGGGCTGTCACTAGGCCTGTGACTTTGAACAAACCCCTTCACTTCTCTGAGCTCTGTTTCCCTACCTGTAAAATGGATACTGCTATCAGCTCTCCCTAGGCCACCAGGGGTGTTGAGCATGGAGGTTAGAGCAGAATTCTCATGAAGTACAACAAAGTATTATAACCCAACAGAAGAATGGATAAGAGGCGCAAAGAGGCACTCTATAGAAAAGGAAATGCAGATCATCAAAAAACCAGAAAAGCCCTAGCCGGTTTGGCTCAGTGGACAGAGTGTCGGCCTGTGGACCGAAGGGTCCTGGGTTGTTTCCAGACAAGGGCACGTACCTTGGTTGCAGGCTCCTCCCCAGCCCGGGCCCTGTTCAGGGCACAGGCAGGAGGCAACCAATCAATGTGTTTCTCTCACATCAATATTTCAAAATATTGCACAAAAACGTGCCATGTCTAAAAATCAATGGAAAAATATACTCGGGTGAGGATTAAAAGAAAAAAGAAAAAAAAACCTAGGAAAGATATTTGGTTCTAGCTTGACAACGCCTACTGCCCCGAGCTCTTCTGCAAATGTGCACCGGAGTGTGCACAACACTCAGAGCAGCACTGTTCACAAGTGCAAATACCTGGAAACATTCAAATGCCCACCCACTGGAGAGTAGATGAATGCTATATTCACACACTGGAATACTGCACGCAGCCAGAATGCACTACACTAGCATGCAGCGATATGGATAAATATTAGCAGCATAATATTAAGTAAAAAGAAGTTCCCCAAATTACATGCAGCAAGATGCTCTTTTTGTAAATTTAAAAACAACTAAGATTAAAATGTACACTTTAAGGAAATCCACAGATGCAAAAAAAAACTATATAAAAAGGGAATGATGGGCACAGGAGGGGATGGTTATCTTGGGTGGTGGAGCAGTAGGAGAATGGGTGGGGGAACTATATAATGAGATGTAGGACATTGTAAAGGTCCTAGTTGTTTTGGTTTTTCGTGGGAGTCAAATAACTGGTGAGAATGTGTCATGCACAAAAGGTTATGAATCATCCAATTCTGTGCCTTGAGGTCTAATTATAGAGAAAAGAAACAGGATAATCTCAGGACATTCCTATTTGATTTTGGAATGGAATGGTCAGGAGATGCTGGGGACCAGAGGGGCACTGACCCAATATGAGGGCAGAGAAGGTTTCTTAGGAGTCAGGAGCCAGAGTTCTTCCTGGAACTCATTGCTGCTGCTTCTTCTTCTTCTTATTATTTTTTTTAATTTAAAGTATTACATATGTTTCCTTTCGGAACTCATTGCTTCTTACTCATCTTTCTCCCCCTTAACGACCTGACGCCCAACATTATCCATGACTTTGACCACCATAACCTTTCCACCTTGATTTCTCCAATGGATTCTATAGCTGTGATCTTGCTGAGTAGACTCACCGAGTAGATGGATTATTGTTTTCATTCCCCTTTCACAGGTGAGGAGCCTGAGTCCTGGAGGGAGAGTGACCTGCTAGGTTCACCGGGCACATCTGTAAGGGTGACTGCATTGGGCCCGGCTCTGGACTCCCAGCACAGTGTTCCCCTCTCCACCCTGATGCCCAGTGCTCCCAGGCCCCTCCTAGATGAGTCTTTTGAGGACTGAAAACACCCAGGTCCCTCTGAGCCAGGAAGATAACTGTGTCTCACCCTGAATCAGAAGGGGCTGGAGGTTGGAGGACCCATGAGGAGCTGTAAGCGGCCAAGCCACTCTCTGATTGGGTGAGCTCCCCATTCATTGTTGGAGGCCCAGCCTGGATCCTTAAACAGGGGACTCCTGATCCAAAGCCCCAAGCCAGTTCATCTCACAGCCAAGCTGCAGGAGGCTGGGATCCTGTGACCCGAGTCTCCACTCTGCATCAGTGTGCCCATCTGTGAAATGGACATAAGAACCTCTACCCCAGAAGTGATGTGAAAACAGAAGATGACAGGGTGTGAGTTTGGAAAAGTATACATTTCAGGTGGCAGGGGACATCATTATTGGAAGAGAGCAGTGACTCCTGGGATGAAGGTGCCCCTGCCATACTACAACTGCCTCAAAAGAGGAGAAAGAAAACTCTAGAAGAGACAAGAGTCTGGCTTCAAATAGAGGCAGAGAGAGGCCAGACCCACTCCCCACTTGTCAGATGTGGCAACTGAGGCCAGGGATTTACCCAAGGTCACACAGCAAGGCAAGGGCAGAGCGGCACTGGGCCAGGCAGGGCTTGCTTCCTTGTCATCCATTTCCCAGTAAAGAGAGAAAAACGTGCTTGCCCCTTTCAAGGCAGAAGTGAGACAAAGCTGCAGTGAGGGACTCACAGGGAAGAGGCTGGTCGCAGGTCACAGAGAAAGAGCTTTCTCCCTGCAGAGACTTTCCACAACCCCAGGGACGCAGCAAGCAGGGCCCGCGGGCCTGGGCGAGTCCTACTTCTCTCATGCGGTCGTCAGGCAATCCCTCCAGTGTCTACCACACTGCCCTTTGCCCATCCCTGCCCCTCTCTTCTGGACCAGGGCCCCCTGCTCCCAGGTCCTCCCATCTGAGTCAGGCCCAGCCTCAGTCCTCATGGGCTGAGGGGACCAGAAGGATCCTCTGCTCCTGGGGAGGGTGAGCCCAGAACCAAGGAGGAGGAGGCTGCTGGGGCCAGGAAAGGCTGTCAGGAGGAACATGGTGTTTGAAGCTCCTGAAATCTGAATTTGAGTCATCGCAGTTGCTGCCATTTCCTAGCTGTAACACTGGTGGTCAAAGTTACTTCTCCTTCATGACCCGTAGAAGGGGTAATAATATCTACCTCCAAGGGTGGTTCAAGGACTAAATAAAACAAATGAAATAATATTACCAATACATCCAAGCCACTGCACACATTCCCATTCGTCCACTCAGATGCAGCGCTGTCATGCATTTAAACTGGGCAAGGGAAAATGAATGGGACCTGGTAGAGGCAGGCAGGGAAGGGAAAGCCCCAGTATTCCCTACGACGCGAGACTTGCCAAACCAGACTGGGAGCAGAGGCTTGGGGGAGAGGTAGGAGGGAGAAGCGATCCACACCTTTCCTGTCAAGGAGGGTGGAGCAGCCGTAGGTTTGGCTGTGGCGAGTGGAGGGCGGTCCTATCCAAGCTCCTTCTGTATGTGAGGCCGAAGGAGAGAGTGCACTTTATGAAGGGATTAATTTTAAAAAAGCTCCAGGCCCCAGCTGGTTTGGCTCAGTGGATAGAGCGCTGGACTGCGGACTGAAGGGTCTCAGGTTCGATTCCGGTCAAGGGCACGTTCCGGGGTTGCGGGCGCGATCCCCAGTGTGGGGCATGCAGGAGGCAGCCAATTAATGATTCTCTCTCATCATTGATGTTTCTAGGAGGCAACTGAAAGGAAGTAAAGGAAGCGGTCTTTCCTACCCTCCGATTTACCTGCCCAGGATTTCCAGGGGGTGGGCAAACCCGGCCGGTAGAGGGCGCAAGAGCCACGTGCCCTGGAGCTCAAGGGAAGGAGGGGGCCCGGCGCCGGGCGGGCAGCTGGAAAACTGAGAGCGGGCGGGGGCGTGGTCACAGGCGTGGGACTGGTTGGGGGAACCTCGGAGCTGGACCGGCGCAGAGGTGGGCGGGGCGGGGCGTTTGGGGGCCGAGGGGCTGGACAGGGGTCGCAGTCGCAGCGCGATTCTCCTCCGACGGCCCAATAAAGGGCGTGGCGAAAGGGCGGGGCGGGGAGCGGCAGAAGCCCGAGTCCGCCCGCGGCGCCCACGACTCCCCCTGGCGGCGAGCCCGGCCCCTTCCCCGCCTGGGAGAGCCGCGTACCTGAGTATCGGTGTGCACGAGTGTGTGGGTCCGAGGTTGCCATGTTGGTCCCTGGGCGGGAGCTGTTGGACCGTAGGGGGTGCGGCGTCCTGGCTCTACGTCCGCGGAGCTGAGCGCACTCAGAGCTGGCCGGTGTCGGAGTGAGTCCTTCGGGGGCAGCTCGGGCCGCGAGGGTCGCTCCCGCGGTCTTGTCCTCCCCTTTGGCTCCTCCCCGCTTCCCTCCCCACCCCCTACTCTCGGTTCCCAGCCTTGGGCGCGCGGGGAGCCCACCCCCTCTTTGGGGAGGAGGCCCCGCCCCCCGCCCCCTTTCCTCCGCCACAAAGTTTATTTGCAACAAAAGGGAGCGAGGATCGAGCAGCCAAGAGGGAGGGAACAGGAGCTGGAGCGGGAGCTCGAGGGGAGGGAGGCGGGCGGGCCGGCCGGCGGGCGCGGAGCAGCGGAAGGGGATCCGGACCGGGCTGGGCCTCGCGCGATGCTCCGGGTCGCACCGGCCGAGGTGGGGGCCGGGCCGGGGGGTCGGCGCTGAGGCGGGAGGGGCCGCGCGGGATGGAGCCGCAGCCGCCCGCGGCCGCAGAAACTTGAGCCGCAGCCGATCAAGCTCTGCTCGGGTCTCTGCGCCGTCTCCCCGCCAACCCCCTCGGCGGCGGCGGCCGGGCCCGGGCCTTCGGACCTCGGCCGCTGCGCTCCTTCGGGGCGGGGGCGCAGGGGGGGTTGGCCGTGGCTCCCCGAGGCCAGCCCCCCCGGAGTGAGCGCCGCCACCATGGCGGACGGGGCGCCCCGGCCCCCGCTGTACCGCAGCGTCTCGTTCAAGCTGCTGGAGCGTTGGAGCGGCGGGCCCGGGCCGAAGGAGGGGGCCGCGGACACCGCCGGGCTGCGGGGCCGCGCCGCGTGCCGGCCGGTCACCGCCGTCCCGGGCCAGCCCTCCCGGCGCGTGTCCAAGCTGGCGTCGGGGCCCCCGGCCGCCCCCGCGCAGCCGCGCCCGCTCCGCAGTCTCTCGCCGTCGGTGCGCCAGCTCTCCCGGCGCTTCGACGCGCCGCGGCCGGACCACTCCGCCGGGGCCCGGGACGGGGGCGTCTCCCCCGGGGCCGTGGAAGAAGCGACCGAAGGTGCCGTGCGCGGGGCCTGGCCCAGCGTCACCGAGATGCGCAAGCTCTTTGCGGGTCCTGGCTCCAGGCGGCCCAGTGCCGACTCCGAGGCCTCGGGGGCGCCCAGCCCCGACGGTGCCGCGTGGGATCTCCCGGCCCGGGAGCCCCGACAGCCCCCGACGCCGCCTCCCCGGACGTGCTTCCACCTGGCGGGCCTGCGTTCCGCGCGGCCGCTGCCCGGCCCGGGGACCGAGGGGAGGCGGCGGCGGCAGCAGCAGCAGCAGCAGCAACAGGAGCGGGCGCAGCGTCCGGCGGATGGTTTACATTCTTGGCATAGCTTCTCCCAACCGCAGGCCGGGACCCGGGCCTCCCGCTCCTCCTCCTCCTCCATGGCCTCCTATCCTGTCGGCAGCAGCGGGGCTGCCAGCTCCAGCGAGGAGGAAGAGGAGGGCCCGCCGCCGCTGCCGCCCGGGGCGCAGAGCCCGGCCTACCACGGAGGCCTCTCCTCTGGCAGCGAAGAGGACCAAGATGGTGAGGGCGGCCGCCGCTGGAGAGGGAGGCCGGGCCCCAGGCCGGGGAGCGCCCTCTTGGATGAGGACTGTCAGCCAGACAGTTGTGGGTTAAACCTGAGCAGCATGGACTCGGTTAGGGGAGCCGGAAGCCTGGAGCCCCCAACATCTCCCAGAGCCCCTGGCGAGGAAGGACCCCGGGAGTGGGGTACTGACTCACCTCCTTGTGCACCCGGTCCCCCGCAGGAGGGACATCGGTCTTTGTCAGACACTGTTGGGGGAGCTTTCCGAGTGGCTAAGGTGAGCTTTCCCGCCTACCTGGCCAGCCCATCCGGCTCCTGTGGTAGCAGCCGCTATTCCAGCACGGAGACCCTCAAGGATGAGGACCTGTGGGCTAGCCGGGGCTCTGGGAGCTGGGGTGTGTATCGTTCCCCGAGCTTTGGAGCTGGAGAAGGGCTCCTCCTAAGGTCCCAGGCTCGAACCCGCACCAAGGGACCCGTGGGCACCGCAAGGGCATTGAGGGATGGAGGCTTGGAGTTGGACAAGAGGCGGCAGCGCAAGTCCCTGTCAAACCCAGACATTGCCTCAGAGACCCTAACGCTGCTCAGTTTCCTGCGCTCGGACCTTTCAGAGCTGAGGGTCCGAAAGTCTGCTGGGCGCCCCGGGGACCTTGGGAGTAGCCCCTTAGATGGCAGAGACTCACCATCAGCGGGTGGCATGGGGGGGCAACTTAGGCGCATGGCCCCAGCAGCCCCAGCAGCACCTGGCACCCGCCCCACGCTCAAGGATTTGACAGCCACCCTTCGAAGGACAAAGTCATTTACCTGCTCTGAGAAGCCCATGGCCCGCCGCCATCCCCGCACCAGTGCCCTGAAGCCCAGCTCCTCTGAGCTCCTGCTGGCAGACCCCGGCGCCGAGGAGGACCCACTGCCCCTCATTGTTCAGGATCAGTATGTCCAAGAGGCCCGCCAGGTGTTTGAGAAGATCCAGCGCATGGGTGCCCAGCAGGATGATGGAAGTGACATCCCACCTGGAAGCCCTGAGTGGGCAGGGGACATGGCCCACGGGCAGCGGTCCCAGGAGGAGCTCTCCGGCCCGGAATCCAGCCTGACGGACGAGGGCATTGGGGCAGACCCTGAGCCTCCTGTTTCAGCCTTTTGCAGCCTCGGCACCACAGGGGTATGGCGACCCCTTAACTCGCCTTCGGCCCAGACCAACCAACTCCCTGGGACTGAAGACAGTGTGGGAGGGTGGTCCCTGGTGGCTCCTGATACTCCTCCCACACCAGGTGCCCTCCGCAGGAGACGAAAAGTCCCACCTTCAGGCCCAGGTGGTACTGAACTGAGCAACGGGGAGGCAGGGGAGGCCTACCGGTCTCTAAGTGACCCAATTCCTCAGCGCCACCGGGCTACCACCTCTGAGGAGCCCTCTGGGTTTTCTGTGGATAGCAACCTCCTGGGCTCACTGAGCCCCAAAACAGGGCTTCCAGTAGCCCCAGCCGTGGATGAGGGCTTGACCAGCGGCCACAGTGACTGGTCTGTGGGCAGTGAAGAGAGCAAGGGATACCAGGAGGTCATTCAGAGCATTGTTCAAGAGCCTGGTGCCTTGGGGCGTGTGGTGGATGACAGGGTGGCTGGCAAAGCCCCCAAGAAGAAATCTTTGAGTGACCCCAGCCGCCGTGGGGAGCTGGCAGGGCCTGGATTTGAGGGCCCTGGAGGGGAGCCCATCCGAGAGGTTGAGCCCACGCTGCCTCCATCCAGCAGTGAGCCCATTCTTGCAGATCGACAGGCAGAACCAGGGGAGCCTAGTCCTGCCAGGGGCCGGGCACAGTCTGAGATGGCTCTGCCTGAACCCCTGTCTACCTGCCCCAGTGCCCACCATGACTTCCACCTTGACCCTAAACTGGCTGATGTCCTGTCCCCACGGCTCATCCGCCGTGGCTCCAAGAAGCGCCCAGCCCGGAGCAGTCATCAGGAGCTACCGAGAGAGGAGGGCCATCAGGCCCGACCCTCCTCCAAACACGTTCGCCATGCCAGTGTGCCTGCCACCTTCACACCTATCGTGGTGCCTGAGCCACCGACTTCTGTTGGCCCTCCTGTGGCTGTGCCAGAGCCCGTGGGCTTTCCTGCCCGGGCCCACCCCACATTGCAGGCACCATCCCTCGAGGATGTCACGAAGCAGTACATGCTGACCCTCCACTCTGGCGAGGTGCCTGCCCCAGTGCCAGTGCCAGTGGATATGCCATGCTTGACTCCAGTGGTTGCACCGCCCTCTGCTGAGGCCAAGCCCCCAGAGGCAACCCGGACTCCAGAAGAGCCTGCCCCGGCCAGCAAGTGCTGCAGCAAGCCGCAGGTGGTGAGTCCTTCGTGGGGGGCCGTCAGGGTGGGGCTGAGGGAAGGCCACCGGCGCTGACTTCTGCAGGAGCCTTTTAAGAGTGCTCATTGGGCAGGTACCCAGGTCTGAGGGTGCTTCTCTGGTCCTGGAAGTGCTCGGGCAGTTTTCAGAGTGTGAATGACAGAGGGCTTCTACCTGTTCAGGCCCCAGGGCCTTCAGGCCTCTGCTCGTGCTAACTCAAAGCTTCTTACCTGCTCCAAGGTGCTCTGGGTGATAATGACACAGGGTTTTAATCTTGTCCTTCAGCTGTTTTTCAGGGATTGACTTTAGAGATTCCTATCCGGTTCTTTGTTATAAATACACAAGGAGATGGGAGGGTGATGGAACTTTCTAGAGAGCCTTGCTGCCCCATTAGCCGGGCCCCTTGTAGGATGTTTGGGGCTGGGGGGCCCACAGTTGACTTGGGTTTGCCCTCCCCCAGTGGCTTTCCTCTGATAGATTAAAGTGTGGGTCTGTCCCTGGGCCTGGGGAAAGGGGAGAGAGACAGGCATTACTTTGTGGAGTAGCAGAGAGGGCTCTGTAAAGTACATTGATGGTCCTGGCCTTTCTCTGACTTAACCTCCTCATTATAAAAGCAGGGGGATTGTGGACAAGGTGGTTTTATGTCTCCAGCTGGTGATGCCAAATTTTGGGGGAGTCATGGGTTGGAGTTGGGGCACTCTTGAGGCCTGAGGTTTGCTGGAGCCTCTTCTGATTAGAATGGGGGCCTCTAGAGAAGGGCTGGGTCAGGGAGGGGGGTGGCTGGAGGTCAGCAGACAGCAGCCTTGAGAGGTTCTGACCCCCACAGGCAGGATTGCCTCTGTGGGTCAGGGTGGAGGTTCTGGTCCATTATCCTTCTCCCCACCCCCATCTCCTTCCTGGTGACTGAGATGCTTTCCCCTTCCCCTGGCTTCAGGGGCCCCTGGGGTTTGGGCTGTGGGTTCAGATAAGTTCCAGGTGCTTGATGCTAGATTTGAGGCTCTGGGTTCCGGTCCTATCACGGGGATGGCCCCGGGGTTATTTCAACCCGTGACCTGCACTCCCACTGTGCTCCCTGCCTGAGTAAGAGCCTGGAACCGCTAAATGCTGGACTAATTTGGTCACTCCCAGCGCTCTCACGCCCCTTCTGATTTTCTTTCTCTTTGTTTTTCTCTCCTTGTCTCTAGTTCCCCCTGGTCCTGCCTCTGATTGGTGTCTCTCACGGAGACCAAAGGCTGCAGAGTCAGCAGGCAGGGAATGGG